CACTAAAATTAATGTTAATTTTTATTTTTTTATTTTTATTTATTTGAACAATGGGAATTTTCTTTGGAGGATGGGAAAAAAGAACTTGGGATTGAATCCAAGTCCAACTAATTTTAAGCACGCCCTCTTTTGCAGGGAGGTCATTTGGCTTCTAAGTGCTGGACAATGTTAATTTTTATATTGTTTTATATATTTTCCATGAAAACATATAAATTAAAATTTTCATTTTAAGATTAACAGATATGAATTACAATTAATAAAATATATTTAATTTCAATAGTTAATTTTTAAAATATTATTTTTTATGTTATTTTAACATATTATTTATAAAATAGATTTAAGGCTTTTGGGATGAATCCAGATGCTGTGGCGAGACACGTGGATGTTTATGACAGGCCCTTCACATTCACTTACAAGACCGTGTGCACCATAGCATTTCCAGACTTTCTCCGCACGCGTTTGGTTTTCGAGAAAGTGCCTTGGCTCGGGAAAATTTCGGGCCATCGAAAGAAAAAGAGGACAACAGAAAACCCTAAATTAGTTAGTTGGCAAATGCAACCTGTGAAATTCCTTAACGCGTATTTCCTCTTCCTCTTACCATAGCTGATTCTGCCGGCGATCAGATGCAGCTGCTCCGATCTGCTATTTGACCGGCGATATATACCTTCACCACTGTCCCTTCACTCAGGTTCCCTTTTTTTCCCATTTTCATATATCTCTGTTCTTTTATGTGTAGTAGTGACTAGTGAGTATCATTTCCTTGCTTGTTTGGTAAAGTCCATGGTGCTATTGTTCTCCTTCTCATTTTTTGTGAAGTCAAGTTGCAGGATTAAGTAGGGAACTGTAGAGTGATTTGGGAATTAGAGAGCTAAACTTTTGAGCTCTGGTTCTTGGATAACTGTTTGTCTGTTGGGTCAATGCCTGTTGAGCAGGGTTACTGGGATATGATTTTCTCTCTTGTTTCTGATGTCGTCTTAGGACTAAAACAGAAGGTATATAGACTGCGACTCTATTTAAGTTATTAAAAGTATAGATAAAATCAATTTGACTTAGTCTAGTCTTAATTATTCATTCATGAGAAATCTAGTGTCGTGTAGCCTGAACTTGAACAAGTTGCTATCAACTAGATAGCAGTTGGGGCGAAACGGAGAAGTGTCACATGTTGCTTTGAATGTTTTTTGTAAGGTCCTTGTCAAGTATATGGGAAATCTTCTGAGATTGGCCCATTAATGTTGAATTAAGAGAATGATGGCTTAGATGTCATGGTAAAGGAGCAACATAAGGATTACAGTGGTCTTGTCAATTGTCTTTGGGTTATGTGTTTGCAGTTCGGCAAGAATTAAGAGTGTCTCCTAATGTGTGCATATATGTGATGCCTCTTTCTGCTTGCTTAGTGCAGTTTGGGTTTTAGCATGGGATTGCTATCTATTTTGACTTGTATTAAGTTTTTGTGCGGTCACAGCACTTTCATTTATCCAAAAATAAAGAATTTCGTTTGTATTGTTGATAATCAAGTCAACTTGGTACTATAATATCTTCAGATTAGGACAACAATGTGTTATTTTGTTCTGTTGGAGATGTAGGGTTGGGTGTGGAATAAGCTCAAATTATTAGTTTTCAAGTATAGTTCCCAAAGAGGAAAGAGAGGCAAGGATGATTAATTTTCATGCTAGTCATGCAGCTGACTAATGTTGTCTGGTTTGCCTTTAGGTGGTGTTTTGGGCCCACCACTAGATTATCTTTCTTAGAGGGTACTTCTACTAAATTTCTATATGAGTAACAGGTTTTTGTCTACTCTCCTGTATGTTACTGAAATGCATTTGGAAGTTTAACATAGAATGGAAAGGAAAAGTATAGGTTACCCTACCATGAAGCAAATAATAACAGAAGATTCATGTTTGGATCTCTAGAGGAGATAGAAATGTTTCTCAATCACTCCTCCGTTCATATAAAAAGGGATATTGAAATTTTGATTTTTTTTTTTTTTTAACAATTTTTGGGGTCAATGAACTAATATTCTATTCAGCTATTCATGGTAGTTATGCCCTCCATCTGTGTCAACATACTTTCTAATCCACCTGGGGAGCTCACCAGGGAAGCAGTACAAAAGTGTAATCTCTGCCATTACATTCTCCTTTGATATTTGTTGTCTTGCTCTGGAGAATCTTTCTTGTATGACAGACCTGATTTGAAGTTCTTGCATTTTAATAGGAAAGAGTTAATTACATAGCGTAGTCCTATGGTTTGCAAAGGAAGGTCAGGTGCATATTTAATTTCTATTGTTTGTTTGTTAAACTGTGCCTGCACATTAAACATTTGTAATTTTTTGTGTCTTACTGGATTAGGAATGGACCACTATGACCCGCAAGCACAGAGAAGGGAGATGAAGCATAAAGGAAGGAATGTGGTATGGTCAATTGCAATGGACAAGTGTCTGATTGAAGCTCTTGCCATTCAGGCTAAAAATGGGAATAAAATTGACAAATGCTTCAATGAAAATGCATATACTGCTGCTTGTTTTGCTGTGAACTCCCGCTTCAATTTAAACTTGAACAATCAGAAAGTTGTTAATCGCCTCAAGACAATTAAGAAAAGGTACAAGGTAATGAGGGATATGCTAAATCAAGATGGGTTCAGGTGGAATCCAAATACGAAGATGATTGAATGTGACAATGAAGATGTTTGGAAGAGATATGTAGCTGTAAGTATTTCCGTTTCTCTACTGTCCTTAAACAGTTTCCTTTGCTTGTTTCTCATGCACTTGTTTAAAAATATAATTTCATTAAGCTTCAGACATATTTAACAGGCACACCCTGATGCAAGAGGGTTTCGAGGAAAGCAGATTGAGATGTATGAAGAGCTAAAGATTGTTTGTGGAAATTATCAAGCCCCTAGTCGCTGGGCCAAGATGAAGGATGGAAGTAATCCTACTGGCCCTAAGAATTATGATGAAGATTCTACTTCATTCCAATCACCTAGTTCAGAAGAGCAAGGCGATACAGATGGAACAGAGTCATATTCTGGAACACAAGAGGACGTGCAAGATGATAATCAAGACCCTCCTATGGTTGAGCCCCTCAGACAACTTCCAAAACGACCTAGAAACTCAGATGCTGTCCTTCAGGAAGCATTGTTAACTGTAGCATCAAGCATTCGGCGTTTGGCTGATGCAGTTGAACGAAGTAAAACTGCAATCAATCCCACTGAGTTGTTAGAGGCCGTGATGGAGATTGATGGTTTGGAAGAGGCAAAACAGATGTACGCATTTGAGTATTTGAATGCTGACCCTGTGAAAGCTAGGGCCTTCATGACGTATGATGCACGGATGAGGAAGATATATCTGTTTAGACAGTTTTGGTGGTGGAAGTGAGTTTAAAGCTGAACATGGAAACTTTTGGTATATAAAGTTACAAACTCCATTGGTGATTCTGCACATTAAATCAATTTTTTGTTTTTCCTGCTGCACACAGTTGAATGTACAGATGTCAGATGTTCAAAGGTGAACACATGACTTATGGTCAGTACTTGAGAGATTTTAGGGAAACAATTTTAGCCTTTGGATCTGCCTCCACTGAAGCTAGCTATATAGTTGTAAAATTCAATACACTGCTTTTGCTATCCTGTTTTCCTCAGATGGGGTATAGTCTGTGGATGTTTTTCATATTGCCCCCAATGTTAGTTGTGCCTGTTGGATGGTTCGAGTATTTTAGGTCTGCAATGTGGAGCTGCCATCAATTACAGAGATGACAGAACTCAACTGAAGGATACAAACATTGTTGAAATTAAAAATATAGCCCCATCTAAATAAACTAAATGGTCATCAGCCATGTCACTGGCAGAGTGTAGTAACCCAAAAATGGTTGATTGCAATACCAGCAAACTAAATTTTGAGATGAGTAAATAAACAACCCGGAGAGACCATGCGGGATAAACATAAATGACAAGACGATTACCATGTTTGGTATGCCTGGAATAGCTGCAGACTGCACAAGCGAAATAATAATTTTAATCCAAGACCGGGAATCATGAAACTATGTGGCAGCATGACCATAAGATGTTTACTAAGGTGACAACTATATCACTAGATTATATACATACTGACAGAAATGACTTGATCCCAGGGAAAACCACCAACAACATAAATGTTCTAACAAAAAATAAGCCATCTTATTAACAAGATAATTGGGGAAAGGAAGACACAGGAAACAGTGTATATCTTAGCAATTCCCCTTCCCTTCTAAAATAAGGGTCCTCAATGACAAGAAAATACCACCAAGAAAAAAACAGCATGAGTCTTACAAATCCATGCAACTATGATATAACATAATCCAAATCAAAATATACGAGCAAACACAAATTCTATGGTCAAAACTCAAATTCCTTAAAAATAATAGTTGGTCCATTCCAAATAGGAATTTCAACTTTCACCATATCAACTACCTCAATATAGCACATTATTGACAACAAAATACTATATTTCCAATGTGAGTACAGATTCAAGAAGAGCAACAAAAAACAGAAAAAGAAGAAGAAGAAAAAAAAGCTATATAGTGAGGGTACACATATATTCTTGATAATTTTCACAAGAGCTAACCTCAAACTAGTCATGTGACATAATGAGGTGCCCTAGCGGCCATGCTAGCAACCTGAGCCTGCAACTGTGCCCCCCTAACTTTTGCAGCTGTGGCCCTATGGAAAAACTGTTCTCTTGACAACAACCTCACATTCCTCAAATATTGATCAAATGGCACTGCTCCCTCCTGCACAGCCTTATCCAAGGAATAAACTGCATCCTCAATAGCCAAATCTGCCGCTGTGCATTCCAAGACCTGCTTAGAAAGAAGGTCCATGCATTCGAATGCATTGTCAACATCCACATCCCCCAATTTATTGGTCTTCTCCTTGTTGTCCCTCGCCCACCAATCCAATATGTCTAAGTTCATTAAGACCACCTGCAGTTGCTGCTCCAAGGCCTCCTTCTCGTCTTGCATCCCCTTCAACCCTTTGTTTAACTCCTCCTCCCGCCTTCTTAGCACAGCCTGCGCACCGAACAACCCTTCCATCTCTGTCTCCCTTGCCTTCCTCATCCCAATTATGTCCCCGTGTACCATCTCCACCAACTTATTCACCGCGTTCTTCTTGAACACCTCTGCCGCATCATCTGTTTGGGCCCGCACCCTACCGTATGGAGATGGTGGATACGCCCTTGGGGGTTGTTGCTGTTGCATCACTGGGGGACGCTCCAGTGATCCGTAACTCGATGAAATTGAAGAATTGATGGACCCAGACGGATTAGGCGAAGGGGTATGATTAGGATTAGGATTAGGATTAGGATTAGGGTTAGGGTTTGAAACACGCTGGGAGTAAAGTGGAGGATCGCGAGCAAAAGTGGCGCTCAAACTTTGCACTAAATCATTAAGATTGGAGCTGGGGTAAATCCAGTTCTGTAGACAAGGGATGGAGACGAGGCCGGAGGGGGAGACGTGGGAATGCGGACGCTTGATGATCATATCACGCGTGGGATTAACGTAGACGTAAGGGGCGTGGCGAGGGTAGGACTCCATGAGCCAGATGATGATGGGGATGTTGTAGGTGACCCCTTGGAAGAGCATCGGGATAGTTCCATCGACTTGCAGCAGGTTCACAGATCGGCCGTCGTTGTGGGTGAAATTTGCAGTCTTGGGCTGGAGAGAGGGGAATTGAGAGATGACGGAGAGGAGGTGTTGGCGGATCAGCCATTTGGTGTCCTCGGCGTAGGGAAGAGCTGAAGGCCCACGCTGCGAGAGGACTGAGCTGAGGAACTGCTGAATCTGTTGGGGGTTCGGAGACGTCGCCGGCGGTGGTGCCATCGGTGGTTCAGCAGCGGAGAGATTCGAGACTCGAGAACACAAATATTGGTGTTTCCTTACAAGGTAAGATTTTGGTTTAGCGCGTGCAAATGTAATTGGTTACTCGGCCTTCCTTATATACTACTTTATTTCGTTTTTGGGATTGAGCCCAAAACTAGAAGGCCTTATCGGAAGCAACGGCCCAATATGCTTTTCTGGCCCAGATACCCTTTATTGGACAAGTCCACTGAATCGACAATTTCCCGTTTAATCCAAATGTAATTTATAAACTTTTGAGTGCAGGTATAAAAGGCCGTCATCAACGCCTGCATCATCTTTCGCGGTGGCTGCAATGACGGAAATCGTCTTTTCTGTATCCTTTTCTCTTTTAGGTTATTTAAATTATCATCGGATCTAGCTCCAGCGCTTCAAATCTGATTCAGTTCTACTATTTTCGTATAAAATTTGGGGTTGATCGTCCAAATTGATGCTTCTGCGCTCCATTTTTTTGTCTGAATTTCCTCTTCAATCAGACGATCGCGTGAAAGAATCATCTTCTCGAAGTTAACCATCTGTAAATTTTCGATCCTCTTCTTGACTGTGATTTCGTTTAGTTTCATCAGAATCAGATCATTGAGTGACCAGATTTGACTTGTGTAGGTTGCAGAATTTGATTGTCTGGTAGTAGTGAAATCAGAGATCAAGAGTTCCTTGCGATTGAACTTTTTATTTTGAGGAGTTTTTCTGGAGTTTTTAATATAATTTGAGGTATTTTCTTTTTAATTAAATTTTTGTTGGTTTAAGTGAGTTTGAAGTTAGCATGATGTTAAAATTGTTACATCAGGAGGATTGAAGCAAGGATGTTGAGCTGTTGCTGATGGAGCAAAAGAGAACTGTGAGTTTCATTGAATTGTTATACTATTTAGTGGCTGAGAAATTTACTTGAGATGATGAAGAAATTAAACAGTGATATATAGTTTGAACTCTATATGGGTCGTTGGAAAAGTACTAAAAAAAGAAACAAATTTAACAAATTGAATATGATTTAAAGACTTGCTTAATTGTTAGTTTATTCATTGAAAGTGAAAACTGAAGAGAACAAGGTTATGCATAAGAAGCACTTATTTTATAGATTTATGAAATACGCAGGTGGTTCATGCTCTTATTTTCTGCTTGTTAAGTATATACAGCTTATAAATAATTAAAAGTTCATTCTGATGGTCCTCTTGCTAAAGTGAGAGGAAGATGGGCACTGATAAATTTTGGTTGGTTCTCACAGTTTATGATGATTTGATGTTACAAAGGACCAAGACCAACTAGATCACCTATGAATGAAGTGGCCATATAGACCTTTGAAACTCATTCGAAATCTCCCCTCCTTCCAGAGAGAGACATAAGGAGTGCACTTTCTTTTACTGGAGAAAAATAAAGTCCAAAAGGAGAAGGGCTGCTTTCTGCACAGAATCTACATCATTGAATCTGTCAGTGCTGTTGTATGTGGCTGGAAAGGGCTAAAAGGAGCTGAATTCTGGAGCATTGAGTTCCGTATCTGATTAATTTTGAATGGCTGAACAGCGGAGTAAAAGTGTCAAACCTACAAATGCCAAGCCATCAGGGGCAGCTGCCAATCCATATCTTATCAATCTGGATAACTTCAGTAAGCGATTGAAGATGTTATATTCACATTGGAATAAGCACCATACCGATCTTTGGGGTGCTTCTAGTGCTGTTGCAATAGCAACTCCCCCTCTTTCAGATGATCTGAGGTACCTGAAATCTTCTGCACTGAACATTTGGTTGGTTGGTTATGAGTTCCCAGAAACAATTATGGTATTCTTGAAGAAGCAGATCCATTTTTTGTGCAGCCAGAGAAAGGCCTCTTTGCTTGATGCTGTGAAGAAATCTGCCAGAGAGGCTGTTGGTGTTGAAGTCGTTCTACATGTGAAGGCAAAAAGTGATTCTGGAAGTGAGCTAATGGATAGTATTTTTAATGCTGTCTATACTCAGTCAAAATCTGGTGGTCTAGATGTCCCTGTTGTTGGACACATATCAAGAGAGACACCTGAAGGAAAGCTTCTGGAGATGTGGGATGAGAAGCTCAAGAATGAGAAATTTGAGCTAAGTGATGTGAGCAATGGGTTCTCTGACTTGTTTGCAATTAAAGATGAAACTGAGATTGATTGTGTGAAGAAAGCTGCATTCTTAACTTCCTCTGTTATGAGGCAATTTGTGGTCCCTAAACTTGAGAAGGTTATTGATGAGGAAAAGAAGGTCTCCCACTCTTCATTGATGAATGACACAGAGAAGGCAATATTGGAACCTGCAAGAATTAAGGTGAACCTGAGGGCAGACAATGTTGATATTTGTTACCCTCCCATTTTTCAGAGTGGTGGTGATTTTGATCTAAAACCAAATGCTTCAAGCAACGAGAAGGACCTTTACTATGACTCTACCAGTGTAATTTTATGTGCAATAGGATCCCGATACAGAAGCTACTGCTCAAATATTGCTAGGACTTTTCTGATTGATGCCAATCCCACTCAAAGCAAGGCTTACGAGGTCCTCCTTAAGGCCCAAGAAGCAGCCATTGGGGCTTTAAAATCTGGGAACAGGATGAGTGCTGTCTATCAAGCTGCACTCTTGGTGGTGGAGAAGGATGCTCCTGAATTAGCTGCAAACGTGACCAAAACTGCAGGAACTGGAATTGGGCTTGAGTTTCGAGAGTCAGGGCTTAGTCTTAATGCCAAGAATGATCGTGTATTGAAACCAGGCATGGTTTTCAATGTGTCACTTGGTTTTCAAAACCTGCAGTCAGAAACAAATAACCCAAAAACTAGGAAATTTTCGCTGTTGCTTGCAGATACTGTACTTGTTGGTGAAAAGGTACCAAATGTCTTGACTTCTAAAAGTTCTAAAGCCGTGAAGGATGTGGCATACTCATTCAATGAAGATGAAGAAGAAGAAGAGAATGTAAAAGTTAAATCTGATGGTAAAGGGGTTGAGAACACCTTCTCTAAGGCAACACTCAGGTCAGACAACCATGAAATGTCAAAGGAGGAGCTACGAAGGCAGCACCAAGCTGAACTTGCTCGCCAGAAGAATGAAGAAACAGCTAGGCGGCTTGCTGGTGGTGGTCATGTGGCAGCAGATAATCGTGGTGCAGCAAGAACTATTGGTGATTTGATAGCGTACAAAAATGTCAATGATCTGCCCCCTCCTAGAGAATTGATGATTCAGGTTGACCAGAAGAATGAAGCTATACTTTTGCCAATTCATGGAAGCATGATCCCTTTCCATGTCGCCACTGTGAAGAGTGTTTCCAGTCAACAGGACAGTAACCGAACTAGCTACATCAGAATTATCTTTAACGTACCTGGCACCCCATTCACTCCTCATGATGCAAATTCTCTGAAGTTTCAAGGATCAATATATTTGAAAGAAGTTTCATTCCGCTCTAAAGACTCAAGGCATATAATTGAAGTGGTGCAGCAGATTAAAACTCTACGCCGACAAGTTACATCTAGGGAGTCTGAAAGAGCCGAGAGGGCAACCTTAGTCACTCAAGAGAAGCTGCAGCTTGCAGCGGCCAAATTCAAACCCATTAAGCTGCTAGATCTATGGATTCGTCCCCCTTTTGGTGGTCGTGGAAGAAAGCTGACTGGTTCATTGGAAGCACATACAAATGGATTCAGATATTCTACTTCCAGACCCGATGAACGTGTTGATGTTATGTATGGTAATATCAAGCATGCATTCTTCCAGCCAGCAGAACGGGAAATGATTACTCTTGTGCACTTCCATTTACATAATCACATCATGGTCGGAAACAAAAAAACCAAGGACGTTCAGTTTTATATTGAGGTTATGGATGTAGTGCAAACACTGGGAGGAGGAAAGCGATCTGCCTATGACCCTGATGAGATTGAAGAAGAACAGCGTGAGCGGGACCGGAAGAATAAAATCAATACGGACTTCCAGAACTTTGTCAACAGGGTTAATGATCTGTGGGGGCAAACCCAATTCAAAGCACTAGACCTTGAATTTGATCAGCCTCTGAGAGAGCTTGGCTTCCATGGAGTTCCCCACAAGGCCTCTGCTTTCATTGTGCCAACTTCAAGTTGCCTGGTTGAGCTGATAGAAACGCCTTTTGTGGTGATCACCCTGAGTGAGATTGAAATAGTGAACCTGGAAAGAGTTGGCCTTGGTCAGAAAAATTTTGATATGACTATTGTCTTCAAGGACTTCAAGCGGGATGTCCTTCGAATTGATTCAATTCCATCCACATCACTAGATGGCATCAAGGAATGGCTTAACACAACTGATCTCAAATATTATGAGAGCAGGCTGAATTTGAACTGGCGGCCTATACTGAAAACTATTACTGATGATCCAGAGAAATTCATAGAAGATGGTGGTTGGGAATTCTTAAACATGGAAGTGAGTGATTCAGAATCTGACAAGTCAGAAGAGTCAGACCAAGGGTACGTGCCTTCAGACGTGAATTCAGAATCAGCTTCAGATGAGGAGGGTGATGATAGTGAGTCATTGGTGGAATCTGAGGACGATGAGGATGATGACTCTGATGAAGACTCAGAGGAAGACGAGGGAAAGACATGGGAAGAGTTGGAGAGGGAAGCCAGCTATGCAGACAGGGAGAAAGGGAATGATTCAGACAGTGAAGAGGAGAGGAAGAGAAGAAAGATAAAAGCCTTTGGTAAAACTCGAGCACCCGAGAAGAGAAATCCAAGTGGCAGTCTTCACAAGAGAGCCAAATTCAGGTGATCACTGCTTTTCCAAAAACATTGTGGTTGGTAGTTGTGTAAATCAGACTTTAAGAGGCTTGAAGAGGCTTCTGGTTTGAGAGTCAATAATGAAGGTTTTGCTTCTGTTTGTATCTTATATCAATGTTCGATCAGAATCAAATTTCTGTAAAATATTTGAGATTATAGTTTATGGAAAGTTTTTGTGTAATTCCAGCTATTTCTTGATATCTAGTATGTATATTTGCATTCTGTGCAGCCTAAATGCCATGTTAATTATGAAAAATAACGTGGTTATAATGTCTTGTTATATTAAATGTTTATAATATGATTTGTTTTATAATGAATTTTTTTATTTAGAGGCTAGTCAGTTATGTTTTTATTTAATATCACATTAAAATTATAATTTTAATGTGATATTATAATTATATTATTATTTTTTTATTTCTTATTTTCCATTAAAGGACAATAAAAGAAATTAAAAATGGTTAGTAACTACGTGGAGTGGTCGTAGGCAAGAGACGAAACTGCACGCGGTGCACATGTTAAGACAGATATTGTTTCCCTCACCTACCCTTTCAATCCGATAATGCCCTTTATCTTTATTGCAATTTTAAAAAAATAATATAAATTGTTTTTGTTTACAGAAAAATCTCTTCGCCTAAAAGATATATTTTTTTAAAAAATACTGTAATTTAAAACTGCTTTTAATCTTACTTTTTTAAATAAAAAAATTGAATTAAAATATTTTTAAAATGATATTTTACACGCAAACTTTTTTTTAAATTAATATAATATAGGGACTGGTTGTTAACTTGATGGGGAGAAAAAGGGTAATAACAAAATTTCTTGCATTTGTTTGTTGGTGGTTCGTTTCGGGTTTGGTGACTGGTGACTGGTGACTGGTGACTGGTGACCGGTGAGCCTAACCCTCCATTATGCATCCAAACGTCATTCTTAAAGTTCAAGTCTAGTTATTCGCTTCTTCTTTGATCTCTGTTACGAGTAACTGTCTGATTCAATCGAAGCTTCTTGTTGGCGCAGATCTTGAGTTTGTGAAATGGCACGGAAGAAGATCAGAGAGTATGACTCCAAGAGGCTTCTCAAGGAGCACCTGAAGCGCCTCGCCGGCATTGATGTCCAGATCTTCTCTGCTCAGGTGTTTACTCTTTTTTTCCTATTTCGTTACTTTTGGAGCTTCTACGGAGATTTCTAGTGTGGTGTTAATTGTTAAGTCTAGTATTTGTAGTTTCAATTTTGTGTTGTCATTGAAACTCCGTGTTCGTGATTCATAACTCGAAGATTGGAACTATGATATGATTTAGCTTTGGATCGGTCTATAGCATTTCGCATTCTATTCTTTCGAAATCAGGATCGGATTCAGTGAGCTGAGGTAGCTATTAAATCATTGTGCATGATAAGTTGCTTTAATTAGAACTTGCAAGTTACAAAATCATATTCTAGTCATTTGAAAGTGTTGTGTTATTGGAGGTGGGGATAAGAGAATAAAGAGTCAAAAATTATTCGTTCATCTAGCTTGAAACAAGATTTTTCATAGCATTTTGTTATGTTAATGGTATTGGGAATTCATGAAGATTCTGTTAGATTGTTATGAGGATGTAAGTTCAATCATGAAAAGTTTCATTGTTGAAGTTTCCAGCTTATTTAATTACTGGTTCTGTTATTTAGGTAACTGAATTTACTGACTTCACTGAGTTAACGAATCAACAACCATGGCTTTCATCCACAAGATTGGTTGTGAAGCCTGATATGTTGTTTGGGAAACGTGGGAAGAGTGGCTTGGTTGCATTGAATTTAGATATTGCCCAAGTTGCTGAATTTGTGAAAGCACGCATTGGTAAAGAGGTAAGGCATGAAAAAGTTGTGCAAAAATTTCTCATTGTTTAATGTTTAATTTCATATCTATGATGCTTGACTTGGATTATCTTTAGGTTGAGATGGGTGGCTGCAAGGCACCAATAACAACCTTCATTGTCGAACCTTTTCTCCCACATGAAAATGAGTATTACCTTTCAATAGTCTCTGAGAGGCTTGGTTGCACAATTAGCTTTTCAGAATGTGGTGGTATTGAAATCGAAGAGAATTGGGATAAGGCATGGCTATTTACCTTCCTTTCCAACTCTTTCCTTAATTTTTCCCCAACTTTTAACTCTGATTGCATTTATTTTTTTGGTTGGTGGAATATATAGATTAAAAGGTTTCTTGTTCGATTTGACAGGTTAAGACCATATTCCTTCCAACTGAGAAACCTATGACTCTAGAGGCATGCGCACCACTGATAGCCACACTTCCTTTGGAGGTGAATTTCAGCACTGTTTTCTTTTTCATTTATCATTTCCTTCAAATTCTCAGAGGCATTATTATTGAGTATTATCAGTTTCCTTCCTCTGTTACTGGATTTATAGTTTTATATTTATCAGGTGAGGCTAATTCTACTTCCTATATTATTTAGGTTCGAGGGAAGATTGGTGAGTTCATAATGGGAGTTTTCTCTGTATTTCAAGGTACTGATTCATTAAGATTTCAAGATCACCTTTTTCTGGTCCCATTTACAGAACATAACATGATTGTGCAGAAGCTTTCAGTATTGCATTTTCTAGTAAGTTTTAACGATCATAAATATATGAAAACCAATTCAATTATCATATCTCATCAGCTCTTCCATAGAAAAAAAGAGGTTTTTGTTGTAATATCTGAAAATTATTTGTGGAAGCTTTTCTTCATGGTTACGCTTATTTGTTTGACTGTCTTATTATCGACCAACTAATGGATTTGTCTGTTCTCCTATTTTGTCCTCAGGTCTGGACTTCAGCTTTCTGGAAATGAATCCATTTACATTGGTGAATGGAGAGATCTATCCACTTGATATGAGGGGAGAACTGGATGACACAGCTGCATTCAAGAACTTTAAGAAGTATATCTGTTTTTCCCAAAACATGTTTGATTTTGATATATGAGTGCCAGTCAAAAACTTTTTATCCGTTGTCATTTCTTATCAAAGGAATTTTATATATTCAGGTGGGGTGATATAGAGTTTCCATTGCCTTTTGGAAGAGTTCTGAGCCCTACTGAAGGCTTCATCCATTCATTAGATGAAAAGGTATCAACATGCTTATCCTAGACCATGTTAATATGGGATTTCCATGGCACATCATGCAGTGTCTTGACCATGTCTTTTTGTTAAAATCCTCAGACTAGTGCATCTTTGAAGTTCACTGTTTTGAATTCAAAAGGACGTATCTGGACTATGGTTGCTGGAGGTGGTGCAAGCGTCATTTATGCTGATACTGTAAGCAATCCCACATCAAACCTCATCTCTAGGAGCTGGCTCAATTTTGTGCAACAATCCTACTTATCAGTGATTATTGGAAGGTCTAATATCTTTGATGTTACTTCTAAGACTTATTCTTTTATCTAACTAGGTTGGAGATTTAGGTTACGCATCTGAGCTTGGTAACTACGCAGAGTATAGTGGTGCTCCAAATAAGGAGGAAGTCTTGCAATATGCAAGAGTTGTTATTGATGTAAGAGGCTACTGATTTGAGCTTCTTTCAGAATTAGACTTCCATAAATCTCTAAGAAATTTCAGTGGCTTACATTTGTTCTGGAAAACCCATTTTAATATTGCAGTGTGCAACTGCGGATCCAGATGGTCGAAAGAGAGCCCTACTCATTGGAGGTGGTATCGCTAACTTCACTGATGTTGGAACTACCTTCAGTGGCATTATTCAAGCTCTAAGAGAGAAGGTATATTCTAGATGAAGCCAAACTAAATGGCAGTTTATTCATTTCTTCTTTTGATGTCTTCTTACATCGATTTCCTTTCAGGAAACGAAGTTAAAAGCAGCCAGAATGCACATCTATGTTCGAAGAGGTGGGCCTAATTACCAGACTGGTTTGGCAAAGATGCGTGCTCTTGGAGAGGAACTGGGAGTACCCATTGAGGTATTATGAGAGAATTCTGCTTTGCTTTTATTTTGCTGTTCTTTTCTTAAATGATTGGTCTTTCTATATATCATGGTACTTTTCTCCGGCAAAACAAAAAAATTGTTACTTTCCAGTTTTCACTGGTTTTTTCTTTTGCTGTTAGGTATTTGGACCTGAGGCCACAATGACCGGCATATGCAAGCAGGCAATTGATTGCATCATGTCTTAAACATAAAAGAACTCTTCTTTTCCTCCTTCATCAACCTTTGTTGTTGCGCAATGTAATCCGTTGCAAATTCTTTTCCTTGGAAAATAATTTAGTAAATTGCCCTCTCAGGCGTGGATTGTTGTAACCGTAAACTACACAACTCTGAGTTTCTTCTCCCCTTTTTATTCCTTTTGTCAAAATTTTTGGAGAGCATTGGTATATTTCTTTCTTCAAGTAACTCACTTAAAGGTCTTCAAATGAATATATATATATATATGAAAAAGTTCTTGGTAACCTTATTTCCTAAAAATTAAGAGAAAAATCATTCTAAAAATATGTCGTTTCAATAATTTTTTATTAAAAAAGATTAAATTATTTTATTTTTAAAGTATGTATTAAGGTGATTTTTATCTTTTTTACTCTTAATTTTTAAAAAATAAAACAGATAAACATTAACTATATATATTTTATAATAAAGAATTTCAAAGAAAGAGAATTTTGATATAAAACTCAGGTTTTAAGTGTGTACATACTTTCTTAATTGAAGTGATTAATAAACTATTACGTGCTAGAATTCCTTTTTGATATAAATGGAGGCCAGCACAGCAATTCCACAACGTCCTTTTCACGCAGCCATTCAACAAACACGTCTCGCTACATTTATGTCTTGCCATGACCTTTTCACGCAGCCATTCAACAACCACGTCTCGCTACATTTATGTCTTGCCATGAGCTTTTCACGCAGCCATCAAACAAACGGGTTTGCACTACACATTTTTGTCCTATAATATATTACTTTGTTCAACTCTTCCCATTTAATGTCTGACAATTACACCTTCATATGACCATGATTTTTTAACAAAGGCAATTATTGGGGGAAGGGGGTAAGGAAATGCGCCTAGCCATGGACGGGGAGAAGTACCAACAACCTCAAGTGGTTGGTAGAATTTGAGCTCTTATTTTATTTTATTTAAATAAATAAAATTTAAAAATAAATTATTAAATTTAAGTGATTAATTTTTTCATATAATCTTAATAATCTATCAATATATCAATATATTGAGATTCAACTTTTAAGTCCAAAATTACATCAATCATGGTTTGTTTAATTTAGTTCTAAATGTCCTTATTGAATCTTTATACTACAAACAGATGAATAAAGATGTGAAAGATAATAGTTATGTATATCTTGTTTTGGTTTTTTCTTTTCTTTTCTTTTCTTTTCTTTTTTCTCACATTACTTTAATAAAACGATGCAATTTTAAGGCCCTTGTTCTTAAGCCCGGCTAACAAACACTAATCTTAAATAATGGTTCATGAATTATAAAAGTAAGTTGACTAATTTACCCACACTCAATGCCCATTTGACACATTAGAGAAAGGGCTATCTTGTAATTAGGCGTCTTGATCCTAACAATTGCCCGGAGACGTCGTTGTCGGTCGAAGGAAAATGAAGTTGAAAGTTGAAACCATGGAAGGAAACAAGCTATTCCCATGGAACTGTTCAAAGCGAGACAGCTTGAAGATCCTCTGCCCGCAGCCACCCATGTTGTGTTTTTAGTTACTTGTAAGACCAACACACCCATTTCCCCATCTATAAATTCCCACTTAACAACTCCATCTTCATCACTACATTCCTGTGTCTTTATCTCACATAATAATCCAGTTCTTCATTCATTCATTCATTCATTCATTCTCTTACTCTTTTGCTCTCTGGTTTGTAGACTCCAAATGGAGACTGCAAACTCGTGCTTGATTTTCTTCATTATTATTGCTGTAATGATATCTGTTTCTTCAGCTTCTCTCAAGGTGAGTTTCTATAAAGCAAGTTGCCCATCTGCGGAAGCCATTGTGAGAAAAGCTGTGAATAAAGCTGTGTCGAGGAATCCTGGCATAGCTGCAGGGCTCATCAGGATGCATTTCCACGATTGTTTTGTCAGGGTATGCAACTTTAACTTGTGTCTAGATCGAGGAAAAAAATAATTATGGTCCCGGCGAGGCTCGAACTCGCGACCTCCGGCTCATAAGACCAGCGCTCTAACCAACTGAGCTACGGGACCGCATGGCTGTTAAATTCAAAAATGTATTTAATTATCTCCTATATTATTTTTTTAATACGTAATTAATTCATGGGGTTTTTTCCGATTCCAGGGTTGCGATGCTTCCGTGCTGTTGGATTCAACGCCGGGGAATCCATCAGAGAAAGAACATCCAGCCAACAATCCAAGCTTGAGGGGCTTCGAAGTGATCGACAAGGCTAAGGCTGAAATCGAAGCGAAATGCCCACAGACCGTTTCGTGCGCAGACATCCTGGCGTTTGCCGCTCGTGACAGTGCCTTCAAAGTTGGCGGCATCAACTACGCTGTGCCGGCTGGCCGCCGTGACGGCAGAGTTTCGCTCCGAGACGAGCCTTCCGGGAACTTACCGCCGCCTTCCTTGAACGCCCAGCAGCTTAAGGACAATTTCGCTCGGAAAGGGCTTAGCCTCGAAGAAATGGTGACCCTCTCCGGCGCACATTCCATTGGGGTTTCTCACTGTTCTTCTTTCTCCGACCGTCTGTACTCTTTCAACGCTACCCACCGGCAAGATCCTTCACTAGACCCCAAATTTGCCGGGGAATTAAGGAAAAAGTGCCCGCCACCATCAAATTCCGGATCCGGCAGCGATCCGACCGTGCCGTTGGATGTTCTTACACCAAACAGGCTAGATAACAAGTACTACTCAGATTTGAAGAACCACCGCGGTGTCCTAACCTCTGATCAGACGCTTCTGAGCAGTCCCTCGACTGCGAGGATGGTGAGGAACAATGCGAGGCATTCTACAGCCTGGGCTAACAAGTTTGCTTCTGCAATGGTGAAAATGGGTTCCATTGAAGCCCTCACAGGATCACAAGGTGAGATCAGGAAGAATTGCAGAGTTGTGAATTAGAACTGCCTGTGTCATGTTTGTTGAAATGTCTCACTGGAATTTGTTCTTTATTTTTTCTTTCTTCTTCTTCTTTCCATCTCGTTTAGTGTTTATAATCGGATTGTTTCATTATTCAAGTGTAAATTTTCCTATCATCTTGTGTGGAATTTCTTTATCCCCTGTTTGTAACTTGAATTTGGTTAGATGGTATTTGATATTTAAATGTAATGTATTTAAATTTTATCTAAATACATATATTTAAAATTATGTATTTCAAAATTAAAATTATATACATTTTAAATATATCCTCTGATGTATGAATTTTAAATTTAAATTTTTGTATTTCATCAAAATATAAAGTGTTCTTAAGGAAATCTTGGATCAAACTCCTTCAGTTACAACTGGATAATCCATCTTCGACCTTTCATAAATCTTCCTCTCACTCAACCCACCGCCCCTTTCCCTGTATAATCTATTTCTCGGTTACAGGCTCTCTAATCTAGTTCATCGGCAAATTCTCAACACATGATTTCCCCTTTTTTTTTTTTTCTTTTTTTCTTTTTTTCTTTTTTTTGAGGAGTAATTTTTGTATCAATCTTTGTTTTGGGGAAATTTTGTGAGATGGTGAGTCTGGAGGGGATGAGTACTTCAAGGCGATCGAAATTGAATCATAAAGAACTAGGTAACTAAAAAATGTATACATTTTTTATTAAAAA